GGTCAGAATCTCCCAGGGAAAGGAAAAGACACAAGGTCGGTTTCTGCTTTCTCTTTGGGACACACAAAAAGTTGAGTTTAAATGAGGCAGGGGAGACAGACGTCTGTTAAACATATTGTACAAGTGACATCTGGAGAGCAGCAACTGCTTACCCAGGGACCCAGCTGTTTTGCTTACTGCAGTGTCTGTCTCCCACCTCACCCCATGGGAAGGTTTCATTGTGCCAACCTCAGGGTTTCAGCAATATGCACCACATGAAAGACTAATGAATTTCTCTTGTATTTCCAAACTACTTTTAAACAGGTTGCTTTGATAGGTATTATGATTTCCTAGGTTCTTAAATAGAGAACAGGCTTTCTCTTCTGATTCAACTTCCTAGAAGACCTGAAACTCCTTTCATCCATGATTTGTTTGAAAACTTAAATAATTCTGAGGGCAGGGCACCCACTAGTGGGTGTAGCTGCGCCTTCCCTTTGGGGAAGACCACCAGTGTTTCAAATTGGTTTCGTATATCAGCACATTGCATTTGAGTTCTGGAGTATTACGGATACTATGCATTGCTTTGATTTGTGGCTCAACCAAGTGTATTTGCTAGCAACCCTGGTGGAGATGGTTCACTTGGTACTCAGGATCTGAGGTTTCATATTTACAACCATTAACTTTTTGTCAGAGTCAGGTCATCATTACACATTGTTAAGATTGGAGGGGAGGGGATGTGGATTCAGACCCTGCCAGTGTCCTCTAACTCCTTATCTCTTCGGGCTGCATGCACATTTGATCTATCACAGTTGTCTTCCAGCACTGGTAAAGCCGTGAAAGGAAAGGAAAGGTAGACTAGAGTAGGATAAAGTTGGAAACCAGTGTTCATTGAACCTTCTCTAGCATAGTGATCCTTTCTGGGCTGTTATCAGGTGGGACCAGCACCTGAAAAGGGACATTCTGCTCAGTAAAGTAGAGGGTCCTCAAGAAAGAGAAAAACTCTCAAGGCAGTGAATTTACACAGGCTGTAAAATGGGGCTCAGACAACAACTGTGCTACTCATGGTGGGTCTCCAAGAGTTGGAACCAACTTAATGGCAACTAAGACCAAAATCATTATAATAAACCTTGATTGCACTTGGAATCACACACACACACACACACACACACACACAGAAAAGCAAACAAATGAACAGCTTGATACTTTAGGGTACCACCAGAAATCACAGTTTAACTAGTCTGAGGTAAGATTTGTACATCAGGTCTCTAATGACAACAAATTCGAGACCCTCAGGCATTTCTAAACCCTCATTAGATCCTGGATGAATGCCAAGAATTACCAGAAAGATATTTTACTTGTGGTTTCATTGACTCTGAAAGGTGAATGTTCCACTATGCTGATTGGGAGAAACTATGGATGACCTTTTCAAGAATGGAAATTCCAGACCCTGTTATGGGAAACCTGTAAATGGACCAAGAGACACACCAGAGACTGCTGCATGATCCGCAATCAGGAAAGGTATGTGCCAGAGTTGTGCCGTTACTTATTCAATCTGCGTGCTGAGCAAACAATCTAAAAAGAACTGGATCATCTGAAGAACAATGTGACATCAGAATTGGAGGAAGTCTTATTGTCTTCAATATGTAGATGACACAACTTTGCTCATTGAAAACAAGGACAAATTACACTTGCTGATGATAAATCCAAGCATGGCAGCCTTGGGCATGGATTTCAACTCAATGTGAAACAAAAACAGCCAGCCCTCACAACAGGAACCAATAGTAACACCACGACAAATGGAGAAAAGATTGAAGTTGTCAAAGGTTTCATTTTCCTTGGACCCACAGTCAATTTTCATAGAAGCAGCAGTCAAAAAATCAAAACATTTTTCCATCGGGCAAACCTGCTGCACAAAACCACTTTAAAGTGATGAAGAACAAGGATATCAATTTGAGGACTAAGGTGCACCGGACCCAAGACATGTAGTTTCACTCACCTCATTTACATAGGAAATTTGGACTATGAATAATTGATACATGTGAAGTATGATGCTGGCAAAGAATATTGAAATGGGCAACTAGAAGAGTAAACAAGAGTATCTTGGAAGAATTACAACCAGAATGTTCCTTAGAAGTTAGGATACTGAGACTTCGTCTCATGGACTTTATTAGACATGCTATCAGGAGAGACCATTCCGTAAGAAAAGAGCATCAGGCTTGGTGGGTCAGAGAAAAAGAGGAAAACCTTCAAGGAGATGGATGGACACAGTGGCTGCAACAATGGCCTCAGACAGAAACAATTGTGAGATGGTGCTTGCCTGGGCAGTGTTTTATTCTGTTGTTCATAGTCTCCTAACCAACTTCCTGAATATAAGGAGCACTTCAAGGAGTTGCTCATAAAAATCAAAGATTGCAGCCTTCGGTTTGAATTGCAATTCAATAGAAAGAATCAAAGTCCTCAGAACTGGACCAACAGAGTTGGAACCGACCCAGTGGTACCTCACAGCAACAAACAACATAGGACCTAACATAGGCTTGAAATTGCAGAGTCAACAAACTCCAGGTGTATCATTAAATTTTTGTTTTGGTTTCATTTAATGCAGCAGCGACCACAAACATTTTTCTCTCAAAAATAGATCTTCTTTGTACAATTAGTATTTCTCACTATGAAAATGTTGGCAAATTGTATACTTGGATGAGGAAAAAATCAAATCTGAGAAAGCAATCCTGCAATTGTCTATGAGTGTTTCCAAGGCACAAAGAGAGTTGCTAAGGGCATTTTGTTTATTTGTTTGTTTCTCTTTTTATGTGTTCTCTCGTAGATTCTGGCTCATAACAAGAGTAATATAGGGTTTCCTACGCTGTAATCTTTACAGGAGCAAATGTTCAAGTTTCTTCTCTTAATGGAGCAGCTGTTGCATTAGAACCGCCAATCTTTTAGCAGCCAACCACTTAACCTGTGTCACAAATTGCTCCCTTACTGTGGTAGTCACCTAATCCGGTGTCAATTTAAGGATTAAGAGTGTAGGGGTGGAGTCTAGGCTGTCAATCTGGATATAGCCAATGAGACTTCTGTGTAGGCATTGTCTTCTCCTGAGAATTCTGGGAAATCCGGTACTTCCTCCTTGGAGACAGAAGACACCTCTCTCTCCCACTTCCTGGGAGACATTGTGAAGGCAAGCCACATGGATGCAACCAGACCTCAGAAGCCAGAGAAGCCACAGAGAGACCCTTGCCAGCACTGAGATGCTTACAACGCCACTGGACCCAAAGACTTTCTACCCACTGGCTTGTGATCATCCTGCATTTGGCTTCATTGCATGTGTTTCGTGAGTCTGAAGAGGACTTTATAGATGGGTATCAGACATATGGGCTAATATCAGACTTAGGGACTTGATCCAGACTGGGCTGGGATGTTTTCTCAATGTTCAATTGCTCCTGTATATAAATCTCTTCCTTATATACATATGTGTGTCCATGGATTTGTTTCTCTAGTCTACCCAGACTAACACACTTACCCTCTTGAATAGAGGTTCTCAAACTTCCTAATGCCATGACCCTTTAATACAGTTCCTCATGTTGTGGTGCCCCCCCAACCATAAATTTTTTTCATTGCTATTCATCACTGTAATGTTGCTACTGTTATAAAATTGGGTGACCCCTGTGAAAGGGTCGTTCGACCCACAAAGGGGTGGCGACACACAGGTTGAGAACCACTGCTCTAGACTATACTTAGCACCATCCATTGGCAGAGGTTGAAGTTGAAAGATAACTCTCCTCTCATTAAGCCCCCACCCTTCACTTGGAAATGTGTCACCTACTTTTTACAAGTATTAGATGCTCTGGTGAGGTCGTGACCCTAA